CCGCAGCCATCCGCGTCCCTGAGCAAGGCTACGGGTGGCTTCACCGGACCTCAGAGCCGCCTCCCAAAAGCCAGGGACTCCCAGAAGCCAAGGACTCCCAGACTCCCAGAACAGGATGCTGGACAGTACTGAGAAGGGTCAACCTGAGTGTCCTGGAAGTCCCACCCCTACTGGAAGCAGGAGTGCTTTCTGGGTTCCCACGTGGTGACGTTACTGCTTCCACTGCCCCAGCTGGAGGCAGTACTTTGTGGTTAAGATCTCAAGCTATGACCTCTTTCCTTGTTGGCTGAATCTGAAGTGTGATCTGAGCAATGTCCAGTGCATGGGTACACATCAGGAGAGCAGAGCTTCTAAGAAAGCACATCAGCCCATAGCATCAGGACTGTGAAGGCTGGCATCTGCAAAATCATATTAAATGTGCAATTGCATTGTTGGATGCATTGTTCTAAGTATTTTAGGTTTAACATTGGTTTGTCCTTTCTCCTCCCACAGGTTTACTGAGTTACACCCCCAACAATGATTCCAAGGCACACCCAATTTCATCAGTGAATGCCCAATCCTCTGTTTATCTTTAACCTCTCCTTTGTGCTGTTTCCCCTGCTAATCACAAATATCTTTAAATCAGACCCTATAGCTTGTAGTCAAATATTCTGATGGCTCTGGATTTTGTATATGTAAGTGAAATATAGCTTTTCTCTTTCCTTTATGCACTTTGCATAGTTTACTTTAGAGCAATGTTCTTTTTGTATACACAGAGGAAGACAGTTAATGTTACGCTTTTGTAACATGAAAGTTAACTAACTCTGAATAATAGTTACTCCTGGGCATTTGTCATATTTACTTAAGCCTCAGTTGCCCTTAGTATGTAACATCCCAAAAGTGTGGTCCTGCTGAGGCACTTGGATGGATCCAGGGCAAGTCATTAGCTACCCCAGCTTCAAGAAGGGACAGACTAAATGCTGTAAGAAACATAGTAAGAGTATGGTCATGGAACAAATCGACATGACGCAAAAAGAACTAAATAAGGACCATTGGGGTTAGGGAAAACTGACTTGGCCTAGGAACTGCAGTCTGGGATATATAGCTAGATGTTTCCAGGAAGAACCACCCTTAAAGCTTAATATCTCTGTGTTCATACAAAATGACTAGAAGTCATTTTAGTATGATTGTGTAAATGGATTACTAGCCAAAGAAAGGAGAAAGCAATAAGCCCTTAGATAGAATTCTGCCCGTGGGTGGCTCTCCTAGTAGGAATCTAGAGTGCTTGAGCCCCTAAATGAGATTCTGTCCTTTGGATAGATCTCCTAGAACTTCCCCCTAAAGGACTTTACATCTGACTGTTTATAATGTTCAACCACACCTATATGTAATTGCTACTCCCCAAACCTTCAGGATTTCTTGATAATTAACATCAGGAGACTTCAATAATTGCCAGTGGTTACCAACCAGCTTGTGGGCCTGTTCCTTCATCCAGTTGGTCAGCTGGGGGACAGTGATCAGCCTTGAACACATCAGGGAATCTTGAGATCACCACAGGATGGTGACTCAGAACAACACTGCATTACTTGTTGGCTGATGCACAGTACAATTCAAGTTCCCTTTAATTTTTCCTATTAATGTTTACAGTCAATTATGTAAAGATTTAAGCCTTTCAATGCTTGATAGTGCTCATGGCTAGCTCTGGACAAAGACCATACCTGACAGTGCTCACTTGTTCCTGAAACTGTGCCAGAGATCACTCCTGACAGGGTCTGGGCTACCATATGCGATGCCAGTGATGGGATACCATGATCTACTGCAGTGGGCAAGGCAAAAGCCTGGTCCCCTGTATTTCCCCACCAGCACCAAAGAAATCTGTACAGGATGAAGAGAAACCTTAGAGTGATTAAAGAAAAGTTGGTGGTGTGGGCTGAAGAGTGTTTAAGCTTAAGCTTACCTTGCATGTGACCAATGCATTAATTCCCACCATCACACTGTCCCTTGAGCACCACAGGGTATGGCATTGGAAGCTTCAGAGCACTGCTGCAATGGCCGAGATAATCCTGAACGTCAGGGCCTAAGAGAAACAGCATCCTCGGGTCCCTATATTGGACCTCTGCCTAGGGAGAGATTCTAGGGAGGAAACCCTGGACTCCCTGAGCTGTTTGCAAGAGGCACCCTCGCCATCACAAAAAGGAAAAAAAAAATAAAGGCCTTCCTGGGCCCAATGGGAAAATAAGCTTAGGGTTAAATATGACCCATGGGTCTGGAGCACAGCAGGTAAGGCAGTTGGCCCTGCATATAACTGACCCAGGTAAATCCCTGGCAATCCACACGAAATCCACTGCCAGGAGTGAACCCCTGGGAGCTTAAAAACCTTGCAAACATACAGCAATACATGCAAATCCCTGGTGTCCCACAGGCCCCAAACTAGATACAGCTGGCTCAGAATTTTGCCCCAGTGGACTTGTTGTCTGTGATCCCCAGCCCTGCTAGCAACTTCCAGCTGTTAAAGAGCCAGACAGGTGTGAAAGCCACAGTGGCCTACGGTGAACACCAAAGCCATAACTTGTGAGCTTCAGCTAAGAGTGCACCCATTCGTGAGCACAAGTGCAAGCATCACACTGTGACCTGTGACCTCCAAACTGCAATACAGCCAGATACCTGGAGCTGTACAGCCAGTACAGTTCCAGATCACCAGAACAATGAACAGAAGTGGCAGAGAAGAAAAAAATATGAAAATGTTCACTGACCAATGTCATCCCGCTGTTCGATTTGCTCGAGCAGGTGCCAGTAACGTCTCCAATTTGTCCCAGCCCTGAGATTTTAGTAGCCTCTCCTTACTCGTCCCTTACAATGGTGCTATATTGGAGGCTCTTTCAGAGTCAGGGGAATGTGACCTGTTATTGTTATTGGTATATAGAATATGCCACAGAGAGTTTGCCAGGCTTTGCCAAGAAAATGTTACAAAATAAATTGTTAAAGGACTGTAGTGATAGCATGGTGGATATGGAGCTTATCTTGCATATAGCCAACCCACCAGGTTCAATTTCCAGAATCCCAAATGGTTCCTTAAGCCCCGTGGAGTGATCACTGAATCGGCAGTCAGGAGTAAACCTTGAACATTGTGAGGTATAGCCCAAAAATGAACAAAAATTTAGTTTATAAAAGTATGAACTGTTTTTAAACATAATCTCAATATCATATGCACATTATTTTAAAGGTTTCAACTCAAAGTTCTATTTTCTTAAGCCCAAGAATTTATCTACATGTCATTATAATGAAATAGTGACTGCCATGAGTGTTATTCCAAGTAGAATGTTGTTTCAATACAAAGCTAAGCTTACAAAATCGAAAATCTTGCCAATGTCAAAATTCAAACATTTCCTTTGGTTCCTTTTGGGTTTATGGGTTTTGCGTTTTGAGTTTGTTGTACAGCGCTCTCTGTGAGGACACTATCTTAAGTTTCACAATTTACACAATATTTACAAAGAAAACATGCCAACATTTTATATTGACACAGTAAAGCAAGCAGCTACTTTTACTCATTTTGAACACTTGGATCAGTGCTCTAAGTCCTGTCACTTCTTCCAACACTTTCTTGGGGTTACATTTACCTTCAAGTATTTCACCTGCCTTTACAAATACCAACATCAAACAATAGATACGTTGGCAAAAAAAATTAAAATTGGAAAAAAAAAATGTTGGCTCATTCCCACCCTGGAGACTGGCTTGCATCTTGGCCTGAGATGTGGAGTCTCTGTATTTGCCATCTGGAGAAGTACATGTTTTCTAACACGTATTATTCTCTACCCTTTTTTCAAATAAATTTTATTATCAAAAAGTTGCTCACAATAATTGATTACATTCAGTTTTTCAACACCAATCCCACTACCATTACACCTTCCCACAACCAGTATTTCGAAGTTTCCCACCACCGCTCCAGTCTGCCCCACAGGCAGATGCTAGATAATTCTGAACCGCTTGTTATGAATAGTATAAGATTTCTGTAAGGATCAGTCTCAGTGATTCAACAACAACAAAAAAGTATATCACGTAATCCTGGGATCATAAAAATTTAAATAAATGGGGTCTAGAGCCATCTCTACAGCAAGCCACTCGGTTCAGATTCTTATGGACCCTCACATTTTTTTAAGTAAATTTAATTATAACCACTTTACTTCACTAAAAAACTAAAGGTAAAGGCCCTCCCGTTGATCGTCGATTTGCTCGAGCGGGCCCCCAAAAATCTCACAAAAAGACTGGATGCTAACTGCAATTCTAAAATAGTAACAATCCCAGGTACTCACATGCATATACTGTAACACTGAGCTATATCCCCAAAAGCCTACCTTAGAGATCTATTTTTGTTGTTTGGGGGCTACAACTAGCAGTTCTCTGGGCTCTGCATTCAAGATCACTCCTCCCAGGCTCAAGGAAAGATTACGTGGCAAGGCGCACAAAATGCAAATGCCCTACCTACTGTCTGACTGTATGATCACTTCAGCCCCAAGAGAAATGTTTTTTCTTATTTTGGGACAACTGGCGATACTCAGGGGTTACTCCTGGCAATGTTCAGGGGACCATATGGGATGCCGGGGATTAGAACCAGGTCAGCTGCATACAAGGCAAATGCCCTACCTGCTGTACTGTTTCAGCATGCTCCCAAGAGGCATTTTTGTGAGATAATTCAGAAAACAATGGATACTATGTTTAAAACTGGTTACAGAAGGGGCTGGAGCGATAGCACAGTGGGTAGGGTGTTTGCTTTGCATGCAGCCAACATGGCCAACACAGGTTCGATTCCCGGCATCCCATATGGTCCCCTGAGCACCGCCAGGAGCAATTCCTGAGTGCATGAGTCAGGAGTAATCCCTGAGCATCGCCGGGTGTGACCCAAAAAGCAAAAAAAAAAAAAAAAAACTGGTTACAGTAGCTTTTGGAGTTATCAAATAATCCTTGTATTTCAGTAATAAGATTCTAAATAAAGCTTATTAATGTCTGAGATTTTAAATAAAATAATGCAGTAATAGAGGAAATATGCTAGAGGAAATCGGAGCATTCCTAACATGATAAACAATGATGGAATACTGGGTGGCGGGGGGCATTCTTAATACTTCATCCTGCATTCCTTTCCATTCGTGCATACATACCACATTTTATTTATAATAAACAAACTGGACACAAGCCAAGTGTTCACTGACAGAGAAGTGGATTAACACATTATAGCACATCAGAGTGGGACTCAGCAATCAAAGCAATGCAGTGTGGAGGGAGCCAGTTTTCAAAAGTAAACATTTTATAATTCCAATCATATCAAATTCTATAAAATACTATTTACTGTGAAAGTAAATCAATAGTGGTCGGGTAAGGGCAAGAGATTTAGAAAGGGCACAGGTTCATTATGATTTTGATAGTTTTATGGGTGCATTTCTATGGCAAAACTAGTTATAATTGTACAATTTAAACAGGTGCAGTCTATAGCATGTTAATTATACCTCAATATGTAAAAACCATTAGTAAAATATGGTTCAAACAGAAGTCTAACCAAAAGTTGAGAAGCCCTGTTCTGACTCCACACCTTGTTTCTCACACCCCAGGAATCACGGCCCTACAGCAGTGGCAGGAAGTATGAACAAATAAGATCATTTCTAGTGAGTCAGTTTACAGTCACTAAGTGAAAAATCTAAACCCCTGTACTACAGAATCTCTCTTTAGTCTAGTCTCTTTTTTTACAGAGGGCAGAAGAAAAACATCAGCGGAGCTTTATTTGCTCTGACAATGGTCTCAACAGGAAGGGACAAGCTGAGTGTGCACTCATTCCACAGCCAGTCACTGGCCCCACTGCACATGCACCTTCAGAAGAGGTCCTACCCCCCACTGCAGTCTCCTCCAGTGCACATCAGTCACATCCAGTGTTTCTGCAGACGTTACAAATTCAGCCTGGCCCTTGTAATCTTAACAGTGACCCCAGAGACCAAACTAGACAGGAAGGCACATGATTCCTTTGCAGTACGTGGGGGGAACAGCCTCTCTGCAACGGTGCTCAGCATTATATAATATCCCTGGGAAAAGGGAACAAATGTACACTTCTCAAGGAAGCACTAGAGGTTGTCATATAACAACTACACTCTCCCTCAGGATGACCTCAGGACTCCCCAAAATATCCCTGGCATCCAGGCTACAATTTAGAAGCAAAAGGCCCATTGTCTTTCCTAGGAAGCCTTTCTGTAATAAAGCAAGTGTCCAAGAATTGGAAGAAAGTAAGCAGTTTCAAGTTGCTACCAGCACCCAGCCTGACCTTGGTCAAAAACAGGCCAGGTTCCCCTGAACACTCAAAACTTTTTATAGTATTCTCCAAGAACAGCAAAGGAGGGATATCTGCCTTCCTGATCACATCCAGATGACAGGTACACATTAATGAAACCTCCAAAGTGATAGAGATGATTTCTGCCACATTGGCAAGAACATAATTCAGGCAAGAAAATTACCAGGGTAGGATGCAGCACAGATCCTAAATGCTTCCCCGTGAACCTAGATATCAGGGATGATTCAGGGTCTTCAGAGGCCTAAGTTTCACCTGCAGGCAGACTGTTCCCCACAGAAGGCTAATTCTAGCACACTGAAGGAAGAAGTAGTGTTCACTGCAGAACTAAGGTCCTTCTGTGGGGACTTTATGGGGCTGAATGAGGTAAGATCTTTAGATGAAGGCTTCCAAATTTGCTTTAGTTTCCAATTAAAGCCAATCTAGACTGCTTTCATGCTGATTTACGGCAGACACTGACTGAAGTTTTTCCCAGTTATCAGTTGTTATGTTCATGATGATGTTATCTGGTGTGAAGCTTCCTGTGTTGAATGATGTGAGAGCTTTGGCTAAAGGACTTGCCACATTCCCCACACTCATAAGGCCTTTCTCCTGTGTGAACTCTTCGGTGCTGAATGAGGTTGGACTTTTGACTAAAGGATTTCTCACATTCATCACACTTAAAAGGTCTGGCTCCAGTGTGAATTCTCTGGTGCTGATTGAGTGTAGAGCTGTGGCTAAAGGATTTTCCACATTCCCCACACTCATAAGGCCTTTCTCCAGTGTGAATTCGCAGATGCTGAACAAGTTTACATTTGTAGCTAAAGGTCTTTCCACATTCACTGCATTTATAAGGTCTCGCACCACTGTGAATTTTTTGATGCTGAATGAGGTTGGAGCTCTGGCTAAAGGTATTCCCACACTCCCCACACTTATAAGGCCTGGCTCCAGTGTGCACTCTCTGATGTTTAATGAGAGTAGAGCTGTAGCTAAACGCTTTTCCACATTCACTACACTCATAAGGCTTGACTCTAGTGTGAATCTGCAGGTGCTGAACAAGTCTGAATTTGTAGCTGAAGGCTTTCCCACATTCACTGCATATATAAGGCCTTGCTCCATTGTGAATTTTCTGATGCTGAATGAGACTGTAGCTTTGGCTAAAGGATTTCCCACAATCACTGCATTCATAAGATGTTGCTCCTGTGTTAACATTCTGGCAATTGCTAAGAAAGGAACTTTGGCTAAAGGGTTTCTCACAGTCATCACAGCCATAACTTTTGTAACAACTTTCTCTAGTGTGAATCTGCTGATGCTGAAAAGGCTTGTATTCACAGTTGAATGGTTTCCCATAGTCACTGCACTTGTAATGATTTTTACCACTATGATAGGCCTCCCCATATTTGCAGCTGCTGTGGGGCTTTGCCTCTCTGAGTGTGGCCTGATGCTGGAGCAGACTTAACATAGCCAGAACATCCTTCCCAACTTCCCAACAGGTAAAGGGCTTCTCTGACCCATGTAATTTGTAGCTTTCTGTATCCCTTCGAAACAGCTTCTCTTCACCATGCTTCTGGTGCTGGTGCAGGTTTGGACTTAACCAAAATTGTTTTCCACATGCCTCACAGTGGTAGGATTTCTGTATAGGAGATGATCCTTGATAATCAGCCATGTACAAAGTTTCTCTTTCAACCAGGATACACTTTTCACAGGAGGGAGTCTTGCTCAGTGATACTGGCTCGACAGAAATGCTCTGCAGAGAAAGTCCCTCTTCATCTTCCATACCAAACCAATAACCTGGAAGCACAGAAATGTTGGTGAAGGGCAAACTGTCTTTAAAAAGAAGAGTAACCCTATGATTAGTGGGTGTTAAAAACAATAGAATAAAGTACTGGGATATTTTCTAGGTAAGGGGTTGAGATCAGATTAAAGGGACTACTTTGCAGTTCTGGGATTCTAGAGTCATACGAATTAGGGAGGCCTCACTTCACAAGATGAAGGATGTAATTACAGGGTATGACATAGGAAAAAAGCAGTGTCTCTAACTTATTCCTCTGCCAGTGTCTTTCTACAGCAGTAATGTGTGAAACCTGGTGCTCATGTGCCAGGAAATTCCATCTACATCCCACTGAACAGGGACCAAAGATGCTCTATATGTACATTCCTTACAACACTCTGTAAGGAGGGATTATTTCAAGAGGACAGCTGGGGAAAATTAGGCACGATGTTAGAGAGGCTGGGGCAGTTGGGATCAAAAATCAAAACACACAAAAATAGGAAAAGAAAGGTAGAAATGAATTGTAATTACTGGTACTGGTGAGAATACAGGACTGGTGCATGTCATGAAAAGAAACTAGCACTGATCCACTCATATGTGCCACCCATGAAGGTTAGACCTCAGAGGTTTATCAGGGAAACAAGCAGGACTAATCCTAAACCCCACTTGAACAAATGCTTGGGAACTTTACAAATTCTGAGTCAATGGCAAAATAGGAGAGGGACTAACACTGGCCCAAGACAATTCCGCATATAACAGAACACAGTAAACAATGCTTTACAAAAAGAATCTTAAAGGAGTATCTTGTAAGAACAGCCAATGTTGCCCAAAATAGTGAACATTATCAGTGACGGCAATTCCTGGTACTGAGAGGAAACATCAGCTAGAAGGTGGACAAAAAAAAAAAAAAAAAAAAAAAAACTCAGCGGTGAATGGATCTGAAATCCTTTATCCAGTATGAAAGAGGGACAATAGTATGACTCATCAGGTTTTATTTCTGACCCTGTGAAGCTTTAGGAGAGCCTCTTCCTGGCCAATATGCATAAGGAGCAATAGATGCTCAGGCCAGCCCCATCGATCAAAGCACCTACCTAGGCAACAAAATAAAATTCCAGATGTGAGAAGAACAAGGAAGAACAAAGGAGCAAAGTCTAGTTCAAGGAACAGGGAGGGTGTGAGAGTCTTACCCAGGGAGGTCACAAGCGCAAAGTTTTCCAGCATCACGTCATGGTACAGGTATCTCTGAGTCTCATCCAGGAGCCCCCACTCCTCCCAGGAGAAGTACACAGCCACGTCCTCAAAGGTCACACTATCCTGCCGTGATGGGAGAGATGAAACCACAAACAGCCCCACTATCAAGGACCACTCTTCTACCCATGCTTGTTTCTCTTCCTACAAGTCCTGGTGCCATGGATGCCACTCTCTCCTCTAGGTCCCATCAACAGCCAGCAGGAAGGCAGGCAGGAAGAACAACCTGAGTGGCCGGAGCAATAGCAAGGCAGGTAGAGTGATTGCTTTGCCCAGAGCCACCCCATTTTCAATTCTCAGCATCCTATATAGTCCCCTGAGCACCACCAGGAGTAATTCTTGAGTGCAGAGCCAGGAGTAACACCTGAACATCACCAGGTATATACCCAAAACAAAAAGAATAGAAAATTGAGGAGCAGGAGCCATAGTACAGCTAGTAGGGTACTTGCTTGTACAAGGCTGACACGGGCTCAGTCACTGGCACCATATATGGCCACCTGATCCTGCCAGTAGTGATCCCTAAGCTCAGAGCCAGATGCAACTCAGAACCCAAAAATCAAAACCAAAACCAAAAGAGAACAGAAAATTGAGATACAGGTCAAAGAAAAAAGTGAAGGCACAGGGAAATGAAAGCCACTTATAGGTCAAGGAGAAAGTCACCGGAGAAACCAACACTTAGTTTGATTGTGATGTCTTCAGAACTGTCAAAAAAGAAAATTTTATTGTCAAACTATGCTGTGTGTGATGATTTACTATAGTTGGCCTGCCAAATTCCTATCTCAGAAGGCGGCCACTGGGACTTGGCTTTGCATTAGGGTTGAGTGGATGGGAAGGGATGGTCGTGAGGTGAATGTGAAAAGTCACACAACAGGACGATGGCCTTGGGAGTCAGAGTCATACTACAGTCGACCAGGCATTTGCTTTGCACATTGCTGACCTGGGTTCAATCCCTGGCATCCCATATGGTCCAAGTACTGCCAGGAGTAATTCCTGAGTGCAGAGCCAGGGCTACCCCAGGTGTGACAAAAACAACAACAAAATCAATAGGAAGATGATCCTGGGTGTGTGAATTTTACACATGGCTCTGGGAGGCTGAGATGGAAACAGGGATCGAGGCTGGCAGTGAGACTTCTGACGTGGGATCTGTGGGAGGCTTTGGTAGTGCATAGGTCCTATTTAAGTTCTGTGCATTACTGATGGCAAATTCATATCATGGGGAGGATGGAGTACAGAGATATCTTTATTACAGCTGTACTATCTCTCCAGTCCATTAATTCTCTATTCTTTAAAGAACACTAGTCAATCAAGCTTCACGCTTTTTTTGTTTTGGAGTTACACCCAAAATGCTCAGGGCTCTGCTCAGGGATCAGCTCTGAAAGGGCTCCAGGAATATATATATGCACCAGGTACCTTACAGCTATTACAGCTCAGGACAAAGGTGCATACTCATTTTAACCTTATTTCCTCCTTTTGACATCATCTCCAAAGGAAATCATATTCTGAGAAACTGAGGACTATCACTTCAACGTAACTTCAGGGTACTGGAGGTGGGCAGGGAGAGCCAGGGATATGGTTCAAATGGCTAGAGCAAATGCTTTGCATGCAGGAAGCCTGGATTCAAACCTCAGTATCACACAGTCCCCCTGAATACCACCAAGGGAGTTGGGGGTGGATGAGATGGAAAAAAAGAAAGAATGAAACTTCAGATAAAAATCCAGCCTGAGATACTAGGAGAGCGAGTCCAAGGGGCTAAGCTCATGTTTTTGTGCAGGATCCTCAGTACCTGGTCTGCCAAGCACAGCAAGGAGCGCCAGGAGCAACCGAAGCACCCAGTGGCCCAACAGCCAAGCAAGAGAAATGCAAGTCTAGTGGCTCAGAGATGACCTTCTCTATCTCTTAGCTCATGCACTGACCTCACTGAAATACTCCCAGCATCACACAGAATACTCCTGGGAACACTGACTCCAGCAGCAGGCGTTGGTTACAGAGGAGCACTACACAGGAGCACAGAGGGACTCAGGGTCCTGTCTCCTGTCCCTCCTCCAGCACCTGGCCTCTCTGCCCTTGAAAGCCTGGGTTTTTCTGTCTCATGTCACAGCAACTTCTCTCTGTGATCTGTGTCTCAGAGGTTACTTGCTTCCAACCAAGAAAGAGACAAACTCTGCATCCAGTCTTCCTGGTCTGTGAATGTTACCACCCATTTCCCCTCACTAAATATGACAAAGTTTCACCCTACTACACAATAGCCATGGTCTCTTTGTGCCCACTGCAGGGAAACCACCAGAAACTTCTAGTATATATCTAGCTGCCCATTAACTTGGATTAGTGTTTCTGAAAACATGTCAGACTCTTAACACAACTCCCAAATTACTGATACCAGTGAAAATTACTCCTACTTCTGCCTTCTCCAATTCCTCAGCATAAAACCTTTATGATCATTCCTACCTCTTGCCACTTTTTCTCATTCTCCACAATAGAAATTGCTTTTGATTGTTTTACTCATGGCTCTGCCCTCAGGAATTACTCCTATCAGTGATCAGGGGACCATCAGACAAGATGTCGGTGATTGAACCCAGGTCCGCTAAATGCAAAGCCAGCACCTTACCTACTGTACTATTTTTTTCAGCTCAGAATTTTTTCTTTACTTTTCCTGGTTTTGAGGCCATACCTTGAGGTACTCAAAGGTAGCAGGACTCAACTCAAACCCAAACTTGCTGCATGTAAAGCAAGTGCCCAGCCCACTGAGTTACCTCTCCCATCGCCACATTAGAAACTTGGATTGGCTCCTAACAAAAATCCAGGGCCGAAGCTGTAACTCCAAAGGCTGGAACACTTGCTCTGCAAGGAGGAAGCATGGTTCTGAAGACCACCAGGAGTGACTCTCCAGCACTAAGCCTAGAACAGCCTCTAAGCACTTCTAGGTGTGCCCCCCTCCCCCCAAAAAAAGAATCCAGGACAAGAGAGACAGTAACAGAAGGGTTAAGGCATTTATATTACATTTGCTGACACCGTTCAAGACTTTGGTATGAATTTCCTTGGCTACCACATATGGTACCTCAGCAATGCCAGGGGTCACAACTGAGCAGAGTCAGGTATAGACCTTGAGCACTGTCAAATGTGGCTCACCCCCTACGCCGCCTCCCTGCCCAAATAAAATAGGTCAAAATTTGGAGCACAAGCCTACCACATAAGACCTTTGTTCAATCCACAGCACTGCAGGGTCACTTGAATATCTCTGGGAGCAGCATACCACACCCCCACCCCCACACACACAATACTATAGATGAAGTCACTGAAAAAGAAATCAGGGCTGGGAAGATAGCTAAGAGAAGCTAATCAGGGAAGAAATCAGAGCTGGGAAGACAGCACACACAAGGACCCACGTTCACACACTGCTCTCTGAGCCCACAGAAAATAACCCTGGATACCCCCAAGAATCACAGGGTATAGCCATGGAAGATTTAAGCCCTGCCAGGCATGGCTCTAGAACACACCTAGGGGTCTGAGCAGCACTGTGTCATTGCACTGGAGCACAAAGCTGTACAATTCAGGCGGCTAATCACCACTGGCCTCCTGACTGGTGCCATTCCCCTGCAAAATAATTTTTTGTTTTGGGGCCACACCCAGCAGTATTCAGTGATCATTCCTGGAGAAGCTCTGGGGATATATGGGGTACCAGAGATCAAAGGCCTTACCCACTGTACTATTGACTGCTCCAACCCTGCCAAAACAAAAGTTAAAAAAATAAAATTGTATAGTCTGGGTCCAGAGTGATACTACAGCAGGCAGGGCCTTTGCCTTACATGCAGCAGACCCAGTTCAATCCCTGGCATCCCATATGGTCTTCCAGTAGTCACCAGTAGTTCCTGAGTACTGAACCAGGAATAAACCCTGAGCATTACTGGGTGTGGCCCAATCCCCTTTCCTCCCCCCCCCCCAAAAACACCCTCCAAAATCTTACACTCTGCTACCTGTGCATAAGGCAACCTCATTTGACTGCCCCAAGTAAGTACACTGCCACATAACCCCATCTTGACTTGAAATTTCTCCAGCGTCCCAGATGAATGTTCTGAGAATGGCAGATTTCAAAGTACTAAGACAGTTCTGAGATTGAGCAGCAGATTTCAGGAGAGAAACACGAGAACAGGCAGTTACACCCCCAGCATCTGCCATACTCCCACCTTATACCCACCAGAACCTCTGCCTGTGGCTCTTTCCCCAGTCCCCACACAGGAGGTCAGTCTAAGTATCCCCTCTACCCCTACCTCGCCATCCTGGATGCAGGGACATGAGTGGTCTCATCTGGCCAACTGGAAATGGGAATGAGGATGAGCACTTACCTGAGCTGGGTCCCTCGGATCCCTCAGAGCAGCCGTCGCCATCAGAGTCTGTGTAGAAATAAGACTGGGAGCAGGCCAGTGCAAGCGGGGACAAACACTCCTGTACTTTCCAGGCTCTGTCACCTCAGTCCAGATTCTGTGGTCAAGATTCTGATCCAAGGAATAGATTGAAGGAGTCACAGTGATCACCATGTAGAGAACACCTGAAGCCCTGCCCCGTGTGACAGCAAAGGTGGAAACACCACTCTCTTGGACCTTCATTAGTTCAAGGCTGCAGTTGCTGGGGTGATGTGGTTCTCAAAGTTCTGCACTGGAACTTCCCAAAACAAAGGGCATTGGGAAATGATGTCCTGGTTCCAAGAGTAGATGGGTTAACTTTCTTCTTAAAGGAGCCATGCCCAGATTCCGGAAGAAGTTGCCTGCAACTGATATCTTAGGTGTTTAGAGACAAATTTCACACTCCATCGTGTACCGCATGCTCCCAAGCTCCCACAGATTACAAGTATCACACAATTGCCCCGCAAGGTTACAAATCCAAATGGATATAATATTCCATGCAGTCCCAGAGTGTGTCCCCTTGTAGGTGAAAGCTAATGAATTTTATTGAGCTTATTGCTCTTCGTAGACACATCATTTCATCCTGCACCTATAAGTGTAATTAAGTATACTGCTTGGGGACAACTTTAAAGGGAATTCATTACTATACCTTACCTTTTTTTTGGGGGGGAAGGGTGGGAAGTTGTTAGATTCTGATATCACCTGGCTGTACTTTGGGCTTACTCCTCGTGCAGTGCTCAAAGAACACAGGAGGTAACAGAAATCGAAGCTGGGTAACCTGCATGCAAGGCAAGCACCCTACCCCTATTATTATCTCTGGCCCATTATACTCTCAAGAAATTCCCTAAAAAAAAAAAAGAAAGAAATTCCCTGAAATAAGAACATAATCTTTGGATAACCCTACATTAAGTGAAAGGTTTTTAAATTGCTACTCAATACTGAACGTCAAAATCTAAACAGATTATTAACGAGCATAGTTTTTAAGACTATTAACTATATTAAAAAAAAGGGAAGCAATACCACAGTAGGGAAGGTGTTTGCCTTGCACGCAGTCAACCCGGGTTCGATTCCCAGCATCCCACACGGTTTCCCGAACACCGCCAAGAGTTAATTCCTGAGTGTAGTGCCAGGAGTAACTCCTGTGCATCACCGTGTGTGAGCAAAAGAATAAAAAAAAAAGTATTTAAAAACTGACCAACTGAGAAGAAATTTAAAAGAAAAGCTGCAAGTAACAGAGAAACTAGAGAATAAAAGGGCTCATCAGTTAATGGCTTTAGTTCACAGTCAGGGCCGTTCGAATGGACCAAATACAAATGAGTTAAAAAAAAGCAGCCCCTTATGCTCACCAAGATCAGAACAGTGCGCTGGGAATGGACAAGACTTGCTGCTTGTATCTGTAAAGAATAAACATAACAGCCCATAAGGTTAATACTCAAACTCATTACCCAATATCATTGATGCTGACTGTATTTCCTAAAGTTCTCAACCTGTGTTGAAATATCCCAGGAAAATATGTATACATTTTCCCAGACATGTCACCATTTCTCAATGAAACTAACACTGACAGGAAAGCTAATCTAGATCAAGAGTTTCAGAATCCAAAAATAGGTAAATCCAGGGTACTCAGGTAATCAAAGCTTGGTGGCTCTGGTAATGTAAGTTGATGAAAACACTGCCTGGTAACTAAATATTTGACTCGAAAGACCTTGTCAAGAGCCCAGAAAACCATTGTGATAGAGAATTTCAGGCCATGTCAAGGAGGCTTCTTGAGAGGAAAGACAGCCGGGCCCCTTAGAAGAACTCTACCACTAGAAGAAAGGCCATGCAAAAAATACTTAGTCCACCAACTCCTCCAAGCTCTTCCCCTTGGTACCCATCCTAGAAATGGACTGAGGAATCAGTTTGAGAAAATTGTATATAAACTTGGAAAAGAGGAGAGCATTGCCCAAAACTCCTCTTGAGAGGCACGCTTTCTTAGCCTTCGCTTGTCTCTCTGGCCCACCTCTGCCTGAGCACAGCCCTTCTTACATTAGGGAACCTTGCCCCATCCTGGAGAGATGGCCCGCACATCACTGTTTAGGATATGTACTTGGCTTTTTTATTGGAGAACCCCATGTTCTCTCGAGCATGTAGCTCTATCTACCTCTCTCCTTTCCTTTTTATTCCCAAACAAACTTGTCCTATTTCATTATTTATCTCCTCCTGAAATTCTTTCCTATGAGGAAAGGTGTAAAGTAAAGGCCCTCCCGTTGATCATCGATTTGCTCGAGCGGGCCCAGTAACATCTCCATTGGAGACTTTGTTGTTACTGTGTCTGGCATATCGAATGAGGAAAGGTGATGAACCTAAAAAGTCTCAGTAAGATTTAGGACTAGCTTTTCTTTCCCCCTTCTGGGCCTTTTGGCTAAGGTCAAGTGTAGTATCTGTTCTTATCAGTTTAATATCCGATACGTCCTCTATACTATATGGGCTGGAGCCATAGCACAGCGCATAAGGGCATTTGCCTTGCACACGGAGGACCCAGGTTCGATTCCTCCACTCCTCTCAGAGAGCCCAGCAAGCTACCGAGAGAATCTCGCCTGCACAGCAAAGCCTGGCAAGCTCCCCGTGACGTATTCGATATGCCAAAAACCGTAACAAGTCTCACAGTTTGTTGTGAGACGTTACTGGTGCCTGCTCGAGCAAATCCATGAATAGTGGGAGGACAGTGCTACAATGCTTCCTTTCCTCCAATGAGAAATTCCTCACTCCCACCTGGGTTCAGGTTCCCAAAAAAATTGGATGGTGGGGACAGTTGCCATACTGTGCAAAATTGATGGAATCCAGGTGCCGTTTGACAACCAGCTGGTGGGCTGGTGAGACATGAGGTCTACATATTCCACTCATGTGCTCAACTTCCTGCAAACTGGGAGGGAGAGAGGGAAGCAGCACATTCCTTTCCAGGGCTGCAGCACTCTCTACCTACTTCACAAAAGCCACCAGGGACTCCTGATGGGAGTCACAGTCACAAAATCCATTTTCTTTAAATAAATCTGTTAAAATAGAAACTAAATGTTCAGTAAAGTTTTGTTTTGTTCTTTCGGGTAAATGCCTTACGCCGTTATCTCCAGTCCCTGGTGGTTCCCCACATTTTATACTCTTAAAATGACCAAAACCATGTTCCTGATATTCGCAGTAAAATTACTCATACTATCAATTTCTCAAAACTTTCTGTGTCAAAATTTTCTTTAGGCCAGTTTAAATGCTTTGCTTCACTAATGACTGGATGTTTATGACCAGAGAGATAATACAGAGGACAGGGCACTTGCCTTGCAACTGGCGACTAGGGTTCACTCCCCCAAATCGCATCTGGTTCCCAAGTCCCACCAGGAGTGAACCCTGAGCAAATGGGGTAAGTCCGAAGCACCGCCGTTGAGTGGCCCCCAAAACAAGACTAAATACGTGCATTCCTCCAAGTCCCAGTTAAAATTCTCTCCCCCACGGTCAGGTGCGGGAACAGCGGGAGCTAATAGGACCAAACGAGTCCACGAACAAGGAGCCTCCGGGTCGGAATGAACCATTTCGGGAGCGGTGGCTCTTCCGCTCCACCCGAAAGGAAACAGCCGTCTCCGTGTCCACGCACCGGGACGCAGGTCTCCCGTGGGTGGGAATCTCGGGGACCCACGGTCGGTGGGGCCCCGAACTCGCTCGCACCGAGGTTCCTTCCACACGCGGGAATCTATCTGAGCCCGGAGCGCGACACGCCGCCGCCACCCGCTCCGCGCCCTCCTCCCTCGCGGAGCCGGGAAGGCCAGGGCAGGGCCAGGGAGGGGTCGCCAGAGGCTTTGGTCACCGCCGCGGGCTGCTCCGGACTCCCGCAGCCCAGGCCTGCTCGAGGCTCAGCCGCGAACCGGACCTTGGCTTCAGGGGCCAGTGCGGACTTTACCTGCGCCGGGCCTCAGAGCGGCTGCCGCCATCCGATTCTGTGGGCAGAGTCGGGCAGAGCACGACTGGCGGTCGCGGCGGGGGAGGCGCTTCTTTCACCGGTCCGGGCGCGGACCATCTCGGGAGGCTTGGCCGAGCTTCCGGTTCGCTCTCTGTGGCGGGGGCTGCCCCTGTTCCACCGGCTTCCGGCCCGGAGAGCTAGGCCCCGACCCAGAGTCATGCAACTTGGTGACTGACGATCACACCCAGCCAAAATGACCGCCCGGCGGTGGACGCCGGAAGTCCCGCCCCAAGCTCGGAGGCGGACACGGAACTGTCCGTGTACCGAGCCCTCATTGGCTGTCTCGGGCGCGGAGCATGCTGGACTCTTTAGTCCCCGCGGACGGCCGCCCCACCCCCACCAACTGAACCTCCGCCGCTGAGCTCTCCGCCGACCCTCCTCCAGCTCCGAATCGGTGATCCCCGCCTAGAAGCCGCGGCCCGGGAGGCCCTTCTTCTAACCTCCGTGAGAGTCAGAGGTCAGGCCCGAGGCGGGTACGTGGGTATTTGCATATGTATCGTGACGCTCAGCCTGCCTTTCACACACAGTGTTACGTGCTTCCTAAGGGATAGCATGCAAATACCATTCCACAGAATCACTGAGGACATCTACTGTGTCCACTGGGAGCTGAAGGTAATAAACGATGCAGCGTGAATCCATTCACTATTTCAACCCGTTTCTGCATGCTAGGTGCAAACAAAAAGAGAGTTCCAGATAAAGGACCGGGACAGTGGCGCTAGTGGTGGAACCCCAGGTGCAACAGGAGGAAAAGAAAAATGAACCTCCACAATTACTGCAGAAAAAAATCTCACAGAGGGTAGTTGACCACTATGTCCAATTTATTGAGCAAACTTTTGATCCATTCGATAGCTAGTATATTCTGGGTCACTTTCTTTTAGTAATTTGACGTCGTTTCAAAACTAGAATAAAAGACTTAATCTTTTGTTTTTGCTTTTTGTGTTCGGGTCACACCCAACAATGCTCTGAGATTACCCCTGGCTCTGCATTCAGGAATCATTTCTGGTGATGCTCGGGGAACCACATGGGATGCGAGGGATTGAAGCCCGTGGGATGTGTGCAAGGCAAGATATATCTCTCCAGAATCAAGACTTGCTATTTTGATACAAGCCATAACGCCAGTGTTCAGTGGTGCATGACTGGCAAGTGCTCTGCACCCCAAAAATGTAGAGGATAACAAATCCATTATTTCAACTCACTAGGAAGTGGTTATCATTTCTCCTGTGATTATAAAGACTTTTATGCAAGAGGTATTAATACTATGTGAGAAAAAATTGTGAAATATAATTTACACAAAATTATGACTGATTCAAAGATTATCAGAAATGTATTGGAAGAAATAATTGCCTGTGGGTGATTAACCGTGAACTTTTACTCAGGTCCATGCTGCCACTATCCAAACAGCTCTACTGTCACTGATGAGATACAGCATGACAGAGGTTCAAGAACGCCCATTTGGGCATAGCCTGAAAACCAGCCCTTTAGGAGATGATTCCCACGGCAGGAGAATGAAAGGCAGGGGTTGAAACCAAAGAGCCAGAAGTGTTGTGAGGAAGTGTGTTCACATTCAGATTCAGGAATGGTAACAATACATACACATACAGAAACACACACATACACACACCTATGTATGTAT